TTAAAACTCACGCCAGGCGTGTGTGCGTGCATGCCCAAGATCCCGAGAAGAGAATGGAGGAGAAGGGATTGCGGTGTGACCATCCTCCCTGGGGGGTGACTTCTTGCTTTCTGTCTCTAATGTCTCTCTTTGTCTGTCTGGTGAGCGCACGCACCCTATAGCGAAAATCTCTCAAAAAAAAAAAGAACCAATATCTTGTTCCTTCCTACAATGCCAGAGAAAGAAGAAGCAACAGTGAGACCCTCAGTGCCAGAGACAGAAGGACCAACAGGCAGGCCCAAGTCAAGCTGACCAGCTTGAGCTCATCAGCAGGGACCTTCACCCAGACTACTGTTGGGGAGAAGGAGTTCTCCAGCCTGCGTGGCAGTCTACTACCTTACATTCTGCCTGACAGCTCAACCTCCATCCGCATTGGGACTACAAGGACCAAACACTTGAAAACAGGAGATTCTGAAGGAACTCTTTTCCCTTAACTCCCTCAACAAAAAAAGGAGAGACTCTCCTCTCTGAAAACCTGAACTCAAAACTCCTACTGTGGACTCCACACTCCTGCCCACTGTAGAGGAGGGGAATTGGCACAGAGCTTATGCATATCAGAGAAGTATTGGAACACACAGCTACAGAAGCATATTTCAAAGAAGTAGAAAGAAGCAAGTATATCATCAGATGACTAAAAGTCAAAGCAGAGCCCCAAGAAAAAGGAGAAAATCAGGAAATATCTCCCCCTCAAAGGATCATAACTCCTCACCCACAATGGTTACAACACAGACATCACAGAAATGTTAGAAAAATAATTCAGAATATTTGTTGTAACACAACTCAATGATATGCAAGAGAAAACAGACAACCAATTCCAGAGGATGAGAAAATCCTTTTCATGTCTTGAAGGAGGAACTCCATAATAAGACAGACACACTGAAAAAGAATCAAAGAGAATTTCTGGAGATAAAGCATACTCTGCTGGAAATCAAAACCTCCCTTGAAAGCATCAGCAGCAGATTAGACCACACATAAGAAAGAATCTCTGACCTTGAAGATAAAACCTCTAATTTAGTCCAAGCAACCAAAAAGAATGTAAGAATAACCTTTAAAAATGAGGACAATATATGAGAAATCCTAGACACCATTAAATGGCCAAATAGCCAATTAATAGGTATTCCAGGAGGTGAAGAGACAGGTAAAGGCATAGAAAACATCTTTCATAATATATTAGCTGAAAACTTTACAAATTTAGGGACACATGTAGACACTCAAATGCAGGAGATACAAAGGTTACCAAATAGATGTAACATAAGAAGATCCTCTCCAAGGCATATCATAGCCAAACTGGTAAAAATGAAAGACAAAGACAATATTCTAAATATGGCAAGAGAGAAACACCAGGTTACTTACAAGTATTACCTCATTAGCCTAACATTGGACCTCTCAACTGAAACAATTCAGTCAAGGAAAGACTAGGAAGACATATTTAAAACACTGAAAAAAACAAAAACAATTTCAGCCAAGAGTACTATATTCTGTAAAGTTATTCTTTAACTGGGAAGGAGAAATAAAATCATTCCCATATAAACTAATGCTGAAATAATTCACGAAAACGGAACAGGCTCTTTAGGAAATACTTAAAGGACTACTTAGGAAATACTTAAAGGACTACTTAGGAAATACTTAAAGGACAGGAAAACTAAAGGGAGACAGATAGAAATAAGAGACCACAAAACAACTAGCAAAAAGGGATGAGTCCCCATTTTTTTTTTTTTTTTTGAGAGAGGTTTTTGCTATAGGGCCCATATACTTGCCAGAAGGACACAGAGAGACAGAGAGACAGAAGGCGAGAAATCATACCCCAGGGAGATGGCCACATCGCAATCTTTTCTCCTCCATTCTCCTCTCAGGATCTTGGGCGTGCACAACATATGCCTGCCGTGAGTTTAAGCCACTGGGTCTGGGACTTGAACTGCGGTTGACTACCATGCCAGTGACATAGCCATTACGTCAACTGCTGGTCCTGAGTCCACACATTTTAATAATAACATGGAATAGCAGGACTAAATTTTCCAACTAAAAGGCTAAAAATGCAGATGCAATTATTTCATATACAAGCAGGTTTAAATACAAATTCACCAATTATTTGACAGACAGTTGTCTCCACAGGTTTCAATTTATGTGTTTACTATAACATTACTCATTGCATAAACCTAGATAGTAGACAAAGAGTCCAAAATGTTACAAGTAGCTGAGTCTTTTTTCTAAAAGTGCTCTTTTTCTATCTCTTCCTAATGAGCTATTGTTACGTGCAATTTTACCTAACTCTAACTGGATGAATGATTGATAGACACAGATTTATTCAGATTAAGCTTTTATCTCTCATAGTCTTCTACATGGAAACGACAGATTCTTCTTTCATTGGCTATGTTAAGATTATGTTTGTCAGTTTATGAAATTGTTGCCTGATTATTATTTATTTTTAGAGGTTTTGCCTTAGGGCTCTCCAGAGAGAGACAGAGTCAGTGAGCGGGAAAGTGAGAAATCACAACACCCCGCCCCAAGGTGGTGGCAATGCTGCAATCCCTTCTCCTCCATTTTCCTCCTGGAATCTTGGGCACACATGCACAGTCGCCTGGTACAAGTTTCAAGGCACTGGGTCCAGGGCTCAAACCATGGTGGGCCATGTAGAGAGTCCAGTGGCATAACCACCATGCCATTTGGCCTCACTTGGCCTGATTTTTAACCAATATGCTTTTCTTTAGAACTCTATCTCACAGTAAAGAATATCATAGACAGTTCAGTACATGCACAATAACTGGTGGAGCAGATTTCAAATATCCACAACATAAAATAATGTTAAATGATGAAGGTGGTGGATATATTTATATCTCCAATTTATTTATTATGCACTGTGTGCATGCTTTTAAAGCCCCTTCTGTACCCTACCAAGATACGTAATGATTACGTGTAAATCATAAATTACAATATTTAAGGAGAAAAAAATACAAATAACCTAGTAACGATTAATTAGGTTATTTCCTTTATGATTAATAACCAAAAAATTAGAAACACTGCTACACGGGGCCAATTCCACTTTCCTCTTTCCTGCTCCCTTATTCCAGAACAGCACAAAAATGACCACACCTCTGCGATGGTGTGCACTGGGCTCCAGTTAGCTTCCCTTAACCCTGGCTCTTAAGCACCAGTAACATGCTGTTCTCTGAGCACAGGGGTCTCCTTCCGGCGTTAGGCTGGCAGGCAAGGGGATAAGCTGTTCACTGAGGGTCAGGCTGGCCCTTCCCCGTCCTCTGGCGACAGGAATTGCATAGGAGCATCCCGCACCGTGCGGGAGAGAAGAGCGGGAGGGGCGGTTGGCAGGTGGAAACGGAGTAGAAAGCTGGACAGAAGTGTCAGACTGTGCGGGACGGGAAGGGAGGGGTCCCGCGGGGCTAGCAGAGGTGGCACCCACGGCGAGGCCGGCCTGAAGTAGTCCTCCCTCGGGGCAGAGGGGACCTGGTTAGGACTCCGCTGGGGGGGGGACGCCGGAAGGCGGGGCCCAGGGTGGCGGTATGGGGGGGTGGATAGGCACTCGGAGAGGCGGGGCCTGGAGTGGGGGGAGTGGGGAATGGGA